TAGCTACGGTTGGATGCGCCCTCTTCCAGCTTTGATCTTCCTTGTAATATCCCTTCTTTTGCAATAATATAATTTTAGATGCCAAAACAAAAGAGAGAGTGATACCGAAGAATGCTAAAAATTAATTCAATAGTCTCTTAATTAGTCACATTTTCTTTGTATGAATAGCTAAATAGATACAAAAAATTGGAAAATTTATTTATAATATAGAAACCGTGTTAATTAGTGATTGTTAGGATCCACTAAGAATACATGATGACTGATGAACCATTTTTTTAAAAGTAAATGTAGTTAGGATTAATTTGTAGTTTAGTAGAAAGTAAATGTGGTAAAGACAGATGGCAAGTAAAATATGGCTCGATAGTGCTTGTGATGACTCGTAAGATCTAATGTCAAGAAGACGCATGATGGCTCATGAGTCATGAACCATCTTTTTAAAAGTGAAGTAGTTTAGATTATTTTGTAGTTTAGTAGAAAGTAGGTATTAATATAATGAAGAGTCAAGAGTGGTAACATTTGGTTCTATAGTCTTAACTCTTAATTAGTAATTTTAGTGGTTAATTTGAAATATATATTGATATAGATGAAAAGTATAAGAAAATTATTCATAAATTGCTAGTTCAAATGTCTATAGAATGTTCACAGTAGTTACTCATATCATTGTGGTGTTAGTGTTACCGTCTATATTGCGTCTATATTCGAATCCATTTTAGAATAAGTGTTAGAAGTTATTGAAAAAGGTTTTTAATGGTAACCAAGTCCGTGAATATTCTATGATATACATTAAGTTTTGCTTTTAGTTTTTGAAATCGCACACAGTTAACTATTTATACGTGGAATTTGGAAACATGTAAACACTTAACTATTTCTTTCATGTGTTGGGTGAAAATTGATGTGGGAGTCGGATCTGTACAGTTAAATTTGTCAAGAGTGTTTAAAGATTAGAGATTTCTATGTCGCGGATTCACTTAGGACAAATACTGAGAATAAAATTTTTTTATTGCTGTTTCTGTTAAGCTGTGATTACAATAGAGTTTCTCTGCCAAAAGTTCTGAACCCCTTTTTAGGTGAATACAATGAGCGATATATAGCTTTATTAAGTAAATGGACCAACTAATAAAATGGGTTTGACCCATTAAGCAAAATATCTAAATTAGACTCGTAATTTCATTAAGTCCATTTTGATTATGGGTTTAATGTCATTTTGGACATAGATTCAGGCTGGGTCCTTGTAGACTTGGTCCGATTTCGTTAGGACGCTGCAGAGTTGATCTTGTCGTTATATCGATCTCATAGTGGAGAAATCCGATTCCTACACTTTTTTAAATGATGCGATTATGTTGTACGTAAACGATTGCACATGAAATGTTACAAAATCTGAACTAGATCGATTGTCATTGTATACACCATCAAGACTCATTGTAGACCCAAAAAAAAAAAAAGACTCATGATGACTCATGAAGCCATTTTTCAGACCAAATTTACTTTAGAACAGTTATGATTACTTTATTTAGTTTGATAAAATTAGTATAAAGTAATGTACTGAAGGGTGGTAGAAATAAAAATCCCATAGTCTTAAGTAATCATATTTTTATGAGTTGAAGAGTCAAATAGTTAATTACTGAGAAATTTGTTCATATGATGTGGCCGTGATCCACTACCACTATCAAGACTCATGATGAATAATTATGAATTATAATATTTAAAAGCGAAGTATTTAGCGTTATTTTGGTATTTCTGTATGAACAAGAAATGTAATCAAGAGTGGTTACATATGATTAAGTAGTCTTAACTCTTAATTAATATTAACATTTTAATTGGCTGGAATTGGATAGTATGGTTTGAATAGTACTCAGAAATTTATTAATAAAATACTAGTTAAAATCTCGGTAGATTGTAACATACAATGGTTACTCTCATGTCAAAGAAGCTTTAGTAGTCTTAGTTACTCAAATTTTCACGGTATGAATGAATAATAAAATAGGTTACAATTAGGAAACTTATTCTTAAAATAATAATTAAATTAGGGAAATTTCAGAAATGGTTACATTGTGAGTTTCTAATGTCAGGAAATGTCACATGTGAGTTTTTATTTCAGAAAATTCCACTTAAATACAAATATGATAGAAAAGATCTTTGGAAAGTTTGTGTGTAAGAGTGCGGTGTACGTGTAAGTTGAGATGCAAAGTTTGTGTCAGTTAAATAGACTTTTAATTCAGTTGGAGTAGTAACATTTAATGTTGGAAAGAAAATATATTGTTTGCGTATATGACTGAGGTGGATGGTACCATATGTATCATACCGGTAAAACGTACATATGTGAGACAAATATGTATCATTGGTAATGACAAACATCCATATGAGGTGGAGACAAGTGATTTAGGACGTGAAAGTTAAGTGGATATATATGAGTTGGGTCATAGTTCCCAGACTCACAGTCGTGCCAAAACTTCTAGAAGTTCAATGCGAGTTAAAAATAGAGTTTTTTTCAATCGGTAGTTGTAAACCATATTTTTAAAAAACACTTAAATAAATTTTAAAACCAACCAAAAAAATACTAAAACATTAATAAGAAAAGAGATCTATGACAAAAAAAAAAATTTTATAAATATTTTGACTAAAATTTCATAAACGGTTTATTTTGAACTAATTATTTTTTTTTATAGATATGACTAATATTTAAGAATTAGGAGTCTCAAAATTTATAAATTATTTCGGGATCCGAGGCGAATGACTTTTTGCTAACACTATACGACTCATGTCGAATATGTGTGCAAGATGTAGATCTTATATAT